TTATGTGGAAATTGACAGCAAATAAAAAATCATTTTCCTTTCAAGTTGCTTGTGGAACCGGTTATAAAACTTCGCTATGCTACGAAAACATTTTCCGTAAATAAATACTCGTAATTATAAAAATATGTGTAAGAGCATTTCTAACAAATTCCATTTTCTACAGCCCGTCGACTTCTTATATGACCATGGCATTGTCTAGGGTGCCGCTGCAAATACTTAAGGATGTATATCTTGGAATGTGCATATGCTTGTACACTTGTAACGAAGTATGGTTTCCAGATCTTGAAGTGCTGAAGATTTAAGCACATATGCGAATACATCTGTACATGGATATGTAATACATATTAACAAACATCTTTACAAATGAAGAAACCAGCCAAATAAAAGCCATTTTCTTGTTGCACATATGCTGGCAATAAAACTGCTAGCGCTATACTCGTAAATGAGGAGCAACAGCCGTCAATGCGCCATTCGATATGCTAAATGCACAGTCATAGGTAGTAGGGTGATTTGCACGGTTTTTCCAAACCGGTTTTTTTATTTCATACAAATCTGGACCTCTCAATAAAATTTTTGCGTTTCTCAAAATTTTCAAGGCTTTTTCCAGTTTAAATGAGAAACCTAATTAGTTTAAAATTATATCCTAGGTTATTCGGTGATGAACAAAGTAACATATTTGATTCCAATAAATGAATGTTTGCCGTTTAAACGTTTTTGGCGTGTTTAGCTGAGCTTTTCCTCCAATTCGTGTTCTGCTTCTTGATGTTGTGACCCAAATTGAGAGATCTACACTTTTACTCCACCTCCTAAGAAGCTTTTTACGGCAGAAGTATACTCGGGGTTTGCCATTGCCTGTCGAGGGGTGACCGCTATTTGAAAAGCCTTTTTTTTATGTTGCTAGGCCCTACTACTCAATCCGAAAAGGAATCAGAAAAAATGCAATAAAGTATTAAAAAGCTTTACATAAGACCGAACCTGAATATTTCACTAACTCCATTCGATTTACTTTTGATCTAAAAAAAAAATATAACTTATTTCGCTTTTCTCTTTTCTTTACTGTTAATATTTTTGTTGTAAGTTTTGGTCATGACTTTCTACCAACATAAGCATTTTTACTGTATGAATACTTTGTAAAATAAAACCGGGTTTTTCTTAATTTGAATATCAGAAACCGGCTTTTTTTTCAAATGACAAAATAATAGGTAGACACTAGGATGTTCGATTATACGCCTTTTTTACAAAACCGGTTTTCGGGTAATAGGTAGACACTTTGTTATTCCAAAAATTGTAATTCGAACAAGCCAATTCGAGCCGGTTACCAATTTTGAAACTAACCGGTTTTGAAACCGGTTAACGATTTTGAAATTAAGAAAAAAGAAACGTCTATACAGGGTTTAAAATAATAACTGTCGTTTTTTTTTGAGTCCTTTATACTTCCCTTTTGCCCAACGAAAGGCCTCATACTCAGCAATCGAATAGTCTCCGAACTGGTGACTAGGACTGCCATTCATTCGACCAACCCTGTACGGTTTTTTTTATACAAAGTCTAAGATAGAATACACCTGAAAAAGACTTGCATGTCGCGTGTACTTATTTATCTCCCAAAATTTACACTGTTGGCAAATGCAAATAAGGATTAAAGTTTTAAAACTAATTAATAAAATTAATGTAAGATATGTGGTAAATTAACAATAAAATACCTTATTTTACCCTTTTATTTTTCAAAAAACCTGCGCGACAGTTATTATTTTACACCCTGTAGATATCCAAAAAAAAAAAACGGTGGAAACCGATTTGGGAAAACCGAATCAATCACCCTAGTAGACCCATTCATGGAAAATTTATACATATGCAAATGATTATAGATGTGTATGTCTGCATATTTGCAGTGCAATTTTGGAAAACTTTTACATATTTACATAATTACATATAAATACTTACATACATACATACATACATATGTATTTATCTACTTATGTACATATATCGCAGCGAATATTTGGACAAATTCACATTTTAATCATGAAATGTTATCTATGGATGTTTTTTGACTATTTATCCGGCTGGTATTATATAACCACCAATTTTTTTCTCTACTTATCAGCGCCTGAAATGTGCTATGTTGCCAAAACAAAAAAAAATATATGTTCGTATCTCTGCAGCGAAAAGCCAACCCAGTCAGTTAAAATACCAGTTCATTAACTAGTATGAGCTAAAGCGATGGCCTACCAGTTCGATAATTTCGAAGAACTTATGCAATCAACGATATCTGACTTTAAAATATCAAAGTCAAAAATATAACGCAACGTCTGTGGTTTCGTGTGAAAACTACCGATTCTAGTGCTGAGATAGCAGGTTCGAACAGTGGCAGCTAAAAATCTAATTTCATTTGAAGAGAAAAAACGTAATAAATACTTGTACCATAAAAAAATAATTGAAATTCTAGAAATAATTTTCTTTTAAAAAATATAAAATTTAAAAATTACAGTATAAAAAATAAAAAAAAATAAACATATCAAAAAAAAATTTCGTTGCCCAAGGATTCGAACCCCAGATATCAGGGATGGCACGCTGGTGCTTTGCTCTGTCGGCTATTGCGACTGTTGTACGCTTATGACTTTAATGGGAAATGAATCGGTTTATACCATTTTCCCACGGCATCCTGAATTACTTTGTTCGAGCACATTCTTAATTCGATTTGACAGTTCGTTGTCTCTGTGTTTTGTTTCTGTTTTCTTCGCTGCAAACTTGATGCAAAATGTAGGTTCCTCCTAAAAATTTATAGATTTCCATATTAAATTAGGGATATACACATTTATAAACTTTACCTTTTGTACTCAGAAAAATTGCAAGTTTTGATTTTTGAGCTAGTTTCGATAAATTTCCGATAAAAATTAGAGACAGCACCAATTTTTTCGTAATTCGCACAGTATGTAATTGGATCTGAGTTACCAACAATTGAGGTAATTCGCTCTCTAAATTTTATATGGCGAATTACGAAATTCAAAAGGTAATTGGAGTGCGAATTACAAATGAGAGAGCGAACTACGTGGCGTGGAAAAGCCGTATTATGCTAGTATTTATACTGGTAAGCGCAGATGCGTAGCCAGACAATTTACGTCCCGAGGACATCACCATGCTAAAAATACCAGTCGCTAACATTGAAGAATTCTAGAACGTGAACTACTTGGGCACCCAACACAACAAGTCGCTTTCCCTGCCAGGTAAGTACATTCATACATATGTTCATATAAGTATATAATGTATACTTATAACAATAACAATAAGAACGTCAGAAAATTAGTGGCGAACAAAAAAAGGCATCTGGGAAAATAGTCGATTTTTTTTATGCAGCTCATACTTGGGAAGTGGTAAAAAGCGCAAATCGCGTAGGTAACATTAATGGATTTCGTTCGCTTCGGTTAAGTTAACGCAAATAATGTTTGTTTGTTTTTTTTTTATTTTTTTCAGACCTTAAGTGCCTTACGAGTTATGCTAATGTAAGTGTTTTTTGCTACTGTTTATTTTTGTCTTTTTTTTTTGAAGTTAGAGGAAGATCTAAACCAGAAGTGTGCAAATGGGCGCCCTAATTTATCTATGTATATGTATGTAAGTATGTACATGGAAATAAGTAAAAACCTGCCACTACAAAAGTTTTATGTTCCGCAAACCTCCAAAAAAAACACATTACCAATTTTGCTTGAAATTTGCTTCCTCCGTTCAAGTGCGTTTACAAAGTATTTTTTTCGTACATCAGGACCAGTGGCGGATACCGGGGAGGGGCGATGGGGCGATCCCTTTTAATTAAATAGAATAAGAAAGCATGCAAATCTCTTTAATTAAAAACTACAACAATGGGTATGCAAATACTATGAATTTATATACCTTGTCATAACTTTACGGCATTTACATTTTGACAAAATTTGACCATTTGTCTTAATATATTTTCATTTTAAAAAAATCAACAAACTTAAGTAAAAATTTCGAACATTTTAATTCGATTTTTAATAAATATTTTGAGTAAGCAGTTTTTAGCCCATTTAATTTTAGTACAAGTTTAAACTTTAAAGTAACTGATTTTTGGCATTTTTTTTTTGTTACCATGTTAGATATTTTATTCCATACAAAACATTTTCGACGATTTTTTTTTTTGTTATATGGAGAAAATGAGCAACATCTTCGACGAAAAAAATTCCCAAAAATCAATGGTACTTGAAATTGGGCTACCAAAATGCATACTCAAAATGTTTTTAAAAAATCGAACTAAAAAGCTCGAAATTTTTACAAAGTTTGTTGATTTCTTTATGAACTTTGCACAAAGATTGAAACTTGAATTTATATGGTTTCTCTTAAAAATATGAAAACAATAATTAAAATTAAAAACCAAGGCATTGTTAATATTAAAGAAAAATCATATTGATTCCTTTTAAAGTTTGAATTTGGTAATATTAACCAATTTTTGATTGCTTTTTTTCTCAGTGTAGTCACAGTTCTTTCTTATGTGAAAGTAATGGTCGGAGTTAAGTAAAAAAATTAGGTTTTTATTGAAAACTGGGTACTCGCTATGGTCACTCCACCAGCTACATAGCAGTTTTTTAGTAAAGAAGGAGACCTTTCATCCTGTCCGTTCTATATAAAATATATAGAAATCACAAAGAAGCTCTGAAAACGAATGAAGTGGCTATCTCCACTCTATAACCGTCACAATCGACACACCGACATATTCAATACTTGTAAAAGTTGTCTGGAGTTGATGACCTTTCTTTTAATTCGAAGTGAAGAAATTCACTTTGCAATAAAGTCTACACTGGACAAAAGCACTAAAAAATCCTCAGAGGTCGATTTAATATTTTCGGATAAACGAAACGACAACGATCAATAACGATGCTCATTTTTGCATTCAATTAAACATTTACTAATAAAATTTTTTAGGTACACAAGTACTTATGTATGTATATAACAATATCAACTAACAACAATAAACAACATTCCATGGCAACATTTAGAAACGGCGTCTATAGACAACACGTCGAACGGTCTTGTAACGATAACCATCCTGACCGTGCGAAGAAGTTGGAGGAAGGTAGGTGTTTTGAGGAGCAGCAATTGGCTGGGAGAGCACAGCTTCTTGAACCGGAGCTGGTGGTGGGATGTAGGTGTTCTGTGGCGCTGCTGGTGGTGGAATGTAGGTGTTCTGTGGTGGTGCAATTGGCTCCGAGAGCACAGCTTCCTGCACTGGAGCTGGTGGGATGTAAGTGTTTTGTGGTGGTGGTGGTGGAGGAATGTAGGTGTTTTGTGGAACAATTGGCTCTGATTTTACTTCCTCATGCACTGGAGCTGGATAGCTGTAACCTTGGGATGGTGGTGGAAGGTAGGTATTTTGTGGAACAATTGGTTGCGATTGAACTGCCTCGTGCACAGGAGCGGGATAATTATAGCCGCCACCAAGGTGCGAAACATCAGCAGCAACGTAAGCCAGCAAGGCGAAGGAGACAGCAGCAACGAAGAATTTCTAGCAAGTTGGGAGTAGAGAATAAAGATAATTAATAAACTCGTATAATTGTAGTAAATTAGAGGCATTTGCAGTGATTTGTTGCTAAAACAAAAGAAGACGGAAGCTGTGAATATTTGCTTTGGAAACGCGGTATGCTAAGGTATTTTAGTTAGTTTTATTTTACGTTTTTCTGCTATTTGTTTTTTTTTGTAGTTAATAGTCAATAGCTTTTTGTCACTTGTTTACGCACCATTTTTTTTTTTTGTATTGTTGATTAGTCGAGCTGTTTACACCACAACGCTTAAAGTTTGATAATATCTAAATTGGCTATTGAGCGCGTATTTATACGATTTGACTTCGATGTTTGGTAAAGGTCAACAAAGTCAAGCTGCTGCGTGTAACTGCATTTTGGGCTAAGATACGGAAGTTTAAACGCTAGAATTATATACGTAGGTATTCAGTTTTGCTGCTTTGTATGCTTATTAACCTCATTTGATTATTATTTATTTTATTAGCGTCTTGATTTCGTATAAAATACCAGTATTTTTACATCAATCATTTATTTTTTTGTAGCTTCTGTAATCTTTCTAGAGGAGACTTAGAAAAGAAGTTGCACTCGTTTAAGGTCTTTGATGTAATGCCAATGCCATAGTTGTGGCTATATATCAGCATATTAATGAAACTAAACTAAATTAAACTAACTTGTTGTTAAGCTATTCCGATATTGATGTACTTAAATAATAAAGAGGCGATCGAAGATGCCAGCAATTCAAATTAGATATTTCTTACATCCGGCAATTAATATTATGCTCCAAAAAAAGAGCATCTAAAGTAAATAAAAACCAAAACAGCCGACAAATAGTGCCGCCTAGGTAGGCAAAAATCGAAAAATTCGTTGTCTGCATTGTGAACGTGTTTGGTATTTTTGTAAAGACAATTTATCCAGTAAAAAGAATTAACAGAAATTTCCCTATAGGGTCTTTCCATCTCAAATCACCCAGGCCGAGGGAAAGTGAATTTAAGTTTGCGCTAAAACTCACAGGGATTGTTCCTTGAACAATTTAAGGAGGCACGCATTTTTTTCTCAGAAATTCGAATTTTTCGAATATTGATTTTTTTTTTGAGTACGAACGCTTCATTTTTCCTCTATTAATAGCAACTTTTGATGAAATCGCTTATAATTACCGCAAAAAAGCAAGGATTTTTAAAATTACATATATTTATCTACTGAATCGATCTAAACTAAACACCACTAATTGTTTATTAATAATTAATTATTGTTAATAAACAAAAAAAAATTTCTTTTCAAATTGCCACATCTTTTTTTCTCAAACCTTTTTGTCTATTAGGGAATAGTATAAACTATCGTCAGTACGAGTATCAATATGCTAAAATTCGTCGTTTTCGAGTTATGATTTTTTTTTTTTGAAGATATGATATTATGATATGATATTATGTATATGATGCTAGCAGATTTTCGTGCCAGTTGAGGGCACAAAAATTGCTTCCCATTATGATAAAGTTTCGTTGCTGGAAATTTTTTGAGGTTGCCCGATCAGAGCCAAAAGTTTTTCCCTAATTTGGCCCAATTGGGGTGGAATTAGGAAGAAGGTCGAAATAACACACGATTTGCCCAATCTACCGAAGATTCCCGAAACCAGTGCTCAAAATTTGCTCAAAGTGAACATGCATACGCAATTAAAATTTTAAATTTTTCTTGAAAATTTTTGATAAAAAAAAATTTGTTTTAGAAAATGTGCCAACTCAAAAAAAAAATTAAAAAGAAAATTACGCAATATTTAATTATAGTATTATGGGTGGACTCTACAATAATTTTAGTTAAGAATTTTTTTTACACCGAAGTTTAGTGAAATGAGTACATTACGAAATTACAAATTTTTTAACATTTTTTGAATATGCAGTTTTATATCCCATTAAATTTTAGTCCCTGCGGTATTCAAGAAAAACAATTTTTTATCAAAATTTCAAAAAAATGGTAAATTTTAATGGAATGAATAAAAAATATATGTAAAAATATGTTAATTTTTATTAGATTAAAACTCTTGACCTGTGGACAATGGAGATTTTTTTTTAAATTTGCCACCTGATAAAAAATTAAATTCAAGTTTTTTAATAAGTTAAATGAATCATTAAGAGATGGGTATCAATCGAAATGTGTATGAAAAGTGTTTATTTCTTAACTATATGTAGAATTTTAATAAAATTGGTAACAGGTGGCAACCCGTTTCGAAATAAAAAAATAAAACTTTATTCCACATTTAAAGGTCAAGCCCTGACATTTCGCACCTCACGTTTGAAAATAGAAAGCACTATCTGTACGTAGCTGTGTTAATGCCACAAGAACCCAAATGTACAAATTCAAACTGGATTTACAGTGAAAGTATGAAAGTTATTCAAAAACAAATTGCATTTTTAAATTAAGCGTCCTTAATTTTACTAACAAGCGAATTTTCATTTAAATCCGTCCATAATTCTACTTTTGCCCATATTTTATGTGGAAGGGAAGCACTGTGCGACAGCTGGCTAAACCAAACTAAAATAAATTTATTTAAGAAATATCTTTGGCCAAATTTTTCTAACTATAGTTATTGAAAATGAAGCTCGTTCGAGTGCCTTGTTATTGCCAAATATCACCATCATGGTTTGGCGCTTTAGCTTTTTTGAGCTTTAACCTACTGAAAAATGTCTATAGGCTGGTCATATTTTGGAAACAAATTTTGTAGACATATTTCGACGCAACTTTACCTCCTTTTCCCATACCTTTGACGATTACATTATTGGCCAAAATCGTACAGGAAACTAATTTAGCGGCACATGTACCCAGCTGAAGAGCTATTCTGGTCTAAATAAACCGATAAAGCGTTTTTTAGTTCCATTTGACAATGCGTTTTCCTTTATTTGACGACAACAGCCATTGAATTTGACATAGTGAAAACCAGCCTTATGTATTCGTTCAGTTCACCAATCCATCTTGATGTTGGTCTTTCTCTTGTTTTGTTGGTATATGATTTAGTATCTTCTATAAGGTTATTCGATAGGGCCGCAGATATTCGCAATAGGGCCATTGTTTCATGCGCTGTGCAGCAAGTGGCAGGGTCCTGTTAAAACCACATATTGTCCAAGCCCAAAAATTTGATTATCATGCCACGACAACGTCCGCTCACCGTAACAGCCGTACCGTCATAATTTTCTAAGGAATACGGTACCTAATACCCGCAACCGTGGGTCTGCTAGTAGGTCATGTTGCTATCGGAAAGGACACGGAGAGGTTAGGAATCGCTATAACGACTTCTGCAGAAGCTTTAGAAATGAAGAATATTCAAAAGCCTTGCCTGTAATGGTTCTTGGTTTCTCCTTCGGGAGATCCCATCACATTGTACCCTCCTAATATGCTTTTTGCCTCACGTAGACCCATGGTGTTACCCCAGTTCAGTTCCGTCAGTTTGGTGTTTTCGCTTCAGAGCATTTCTTTTATGGCGTTCGTTCCAACTTCAAGGAAGGTCTCAGGTCCTATCAGGGCCGAGGCTGCAGCCGTTCTGGCCAACTGATCAACTTTCTCATTTCCCCCGACCCCTGTATTACCTGGTACCCAAATTAGTTGAATATTATTAACCTCAGCCAGAGCATTAAGCCTCTCTACACACTCCAAAACCAGGAATGGCTTGATCTCGAATGATGAGATAGCCTTAATAGCCGCCTAACTATCGCTCGCAATAAGTATCCTCTCGCTTCGATAATTTCTTCGGCGCATACTGATGGCATAGACCTCCGCTTGGACGATGCTAGATAAGGTTCCCAATGGTACCGAAAACTCAGTCAGGGGCCGCGTTTTAGAGCCGTCAGCGCCGTAGTGTACTCGCCTGTATGTGACTCGCCATAATAGAGGTGCTCCAGGTCGCCTCGCTATAAATGTAAGTCCTGAAGTTTCTTTTGAAGACCACCACTCTGCCAATATCCTTCCCAGGGGAACAGAGCTTGTCCCTGTTTCTAGCTGATATCACCTTACTTATGCCAAAGCCCATTCTCGCAAAATTAAGCAGAGTTGGCTTTGCAGCCCGTTCTATTGAGAGATACAGTGGCCCAAGTTCCAGCATTACCTCCAGCGCTGCCGTCGGGCATATGCGCATTGTTACAGTAATTCAAAAACACGCCAGCCGTGGAAACCCAAGCCGCCGCATCATAGCTCACTATTGGTCTCACTATTATGGTGTACATCCATCTTAGACGCAAGACACACACCATCATCGCTCTCGTTGCCTTAGAGGTGACCGCCTAAACATGTGTCCTCCACAGAAGCTTGGAGTCCAGGATAATCCCCAGATACTTCACCTCTGTGGCGAAATTGATCACGACCTTTTCTAAGGTCAAGTTCTTCCTCTTCAAGAGAGTTCGTTTCTTGGTCGGTGGGTAACTGCGCCATTAGAGAAAATTGTTTATCACATTTTCCCATAATTCTAGCTTCTCATATTTGCTTTGAATTTGTGCAGGGTCATTTTTAATTGAATTACTTAGTTATCCTTTTCATGGTTGGATTACAAAAATATTTGGACCCATAAAAAGATCTGGTGTTCAATATGCAATCAAATATGTAGATATGTACAAGTTCAATGAAACTGCGAAAATTTTAGGCAGAAAATGAATTGAAGAAGTAAAGACATCAACAGAGCAACAGCTGTCACAAACGAAGAAACAAATAAAAATAAGCAACAAAGCTCAGAGCATTCTGGCTAATTCCAAAGCAGTTACCTACCACAATATCAAAATCAAATTGCCAAAAACACACATTTTTATATGTACCTTGTATGTATGTACATATGTATGTTCAACAACTTTAAACGTGAGACAAAAGGCGACCAACCAAACATTGAGATAGCCAAAACATTATAACACAAAAAAACAACACCAAAGCAACAACAGCAATCATATCAAACAAACGAAAATATTCGTACAACACTAATGAGCTAATCTGCATAAAAAGTTATTGGAGAACGCCACCGTTAATATCTCTGGTTGCTTGCCATCACAGCACAGCAGAAAACCATTAGCGTAGATGCCGTCGTTTAACCGTGCGTTTTTATCGTTGTTGTCTTCGTCGTCATAGTCCGTCGCATTGTTGCCCTTGCGTGTTGATGCTCTTGTCAGATGTCTAGTTTTTGTTGTCTTAAATGTTTATTGTTAATTCGAGTAATTTGTAGTTATGTACGTATGTATCTAAGTATACTGGTGGCAGAAATAATAGGCTCGCCTGGTTTAGACCAGTTTTAGCTACATTTCTTTGGCTTATTTAAATTTAAAAAAATAAATTTTATTCCAAATTTCAAACTTTTTACCAAAAATTATAAAAATTCAACAAGTTTTCACCAAAATTTCAATTCTCTTCCATAAACACACATTACTTGTATGGAAAAAATGCGTGACACCGTCAGCATACGTAGTTATGTACGTATGTATCTAAGTATACTGGTGGCAGAAATAATAGGCTCGCCTGCTTTAGACCAGTTTTAGCTACATTTCTTTGGCTTATTTAAATTTAAAAAAATAAATAAATTTTATTCCAAATTTCAAACTTTTTACCAAAAGTTATAAAAATTCAACAAGTTTTCACCAAAATTTCAATTCTCTTCCATAAACACACATAATTTGTATGGAAAAAATGCGTGACACCGTCAGCAAAAAAAATTATTAAAAATCAACGGTATTTTTTAGCCACTTTAAACTTGCCATTTATTATACTAGAATTGAACGAGCCATAAAATCGCATACACATTTTTTTCTTAAATTTCTGAATAAAAAGTTTTAAATTTTAGTGGAAATTTCTTGAAATTTTATAGTTTTTGGTAAAAAGTTTGAAATGTGGATTTATATGTTGTTTGTTGTATAACTACCTAAAATTAAAAAAAACATATATGTATTTTAAAAATTCAAAAAACCCAAAAAATAGCCAAAACTGGTCCAAATAGTGCGAGTCTATTATTTCTGCCACCAGTGTACATACCTGTTGTATAGTAGTTGTCAGTAAATTTGTGCACGATGCGTCAGTCTGTTGTCTGTATATGGGGCGTTCCATACCAAAACGGACGTGGTTCACACTTCATGTGTTTGATTTCTTTCAAATTTTTAGGGTTGATACATAAACATAAATAATAAATAAATATGAAATTTCAGCTTGATCAACACATTTTTAAAAACCTTACAGCACAAAAACAAAAACAAATCGATTTAATAGTTTTCGAAATATCTCGAGAACGGGGCAAGGAAAAATTTTGAAAAAAATCACACATACACACATCAAAATTCTCTATGGAAATAAATATTTTTAAATTGTTTTTTTCTTGAAAAATTTTTCACATACAGATTTTTAGATTAAAAAAAAATAGTGTTTGAAAATATGCCATCTGAAAAGAGAACATTTTAAAAATACAACAATGGTATCTCTGAGTATTGCGCAAGATTTAAGTATAGTATTATGGGTGCACTCTACAATAATTTGAGTTATGATTTTTTTTACACCGAAGTTAAGTAAAATGAGTACATTACAAATTTACAAATTTTCTAATTTTTTTTTAGAATTTTTTACCACTGCACTGTTACTGCAAAATTCCGTTTGTTTCTTTTCTCTTATGGAAGAAAATGCGCAAAACCGTTTTGAAAGAAAATCAAAAAAAAAATCTAAAAAAATTTGTAAATTTGTTTATTATAGAGTACACCCCATATTACTATACTTAAATATTGCGCAATACCCAGAGTTGTGATTTTTTAAATTTTTTTTGTTTTAGATGGCATATTTTCAAAAACTAATTTTTTTATCAAAAATGTTTATGTGAAACAATTTTGAAGAAAAAAAAAATAAAAATATGTCTTTTCAAGGAGAATTTTATTGTGTGTATATGTGTTAAATTTTTTCCTCGTCCCGTTCTTGAGATATTTGGAAAACAATTAAATCGATTATTTTTTGTGCTATAAATTTTAAAAAATGTATTAATCAAACTCAAATTACATATTTATTTATTATTTATATTTATTTATCAACCCTAAAAATTTTAAACAAATCAAACACATGAAGTGTGAACCCCGTCCGTTTTGGTATGGAACGCCCCATATACGAAAATACACTTGCGACCAATCTTTAAGGTTGCAGTTAACTTTGGTCGCACCATCGATTGCCTATTCGATAATATTAATTAATCAAACTTGCCAAGCGCCGAATATCAGAGGTGAGCCTAAAGTGGTAATCAACACTTCAAATAAAGAAACTAACAAAAAAAAAAAACAAAAGCAAATGGTAAAAACAGTATTTTATGAAAGCAAAGGCAATCACAATACGTAAATAAAAGTTACAAATAGTTTATTTATTTCAGTTGAAAAAAAACGACTTTAATAATATTTACAACAAAACGGCCATCAGCAGAAATCAATCAATTAACCGCCGACGCCTTTGCAAGCATGGGTGTGGTCGAAGCGAGATTACTTCTACGAGGTGCAGCTACTGGCGCTGTAAAATATTTTACTTTGATTTCGCACCTATTAACTTTGTATTATACGGTGTCTACATGAGGCGATTTAAGAGGCAATTTTAAAGGCGATTAGTTGAATCAAAAGTTGGCTGCCCCTTTACTTCATTGAAAGCGATTAGTTGAAAGGCCGGTTCATACCAGGCTTTCAACTAAAACTTGCTTGTAAAATCACTTCATGTAAACAACCCATTATCGCATAAAATTGTGCGAACATTTTTGTTGAAATCATATTAATTGAAGATGTGCCAACACTTTTCGTGTTGTGCCATTGTTCAGCATGAGTTTTTTTCGTTTAACTACTTAGGAAATGTTGCATGTTTCGTATTTTTTTCAGTCCAACCTTTACAAGGGTCTTTAGAAAAAAGTCATATTTTGAAAGCTTACAAATTTTCCCTACAGAATTACTGCAAATAATCCGGAATAATTACGTTCCAAGACATATTAATGCTAAATTACGAAACACAAAATCTTTAATTGGCTCTACGAAAATAAATCAAATTTTGAGTTGTGTCGTTATTGCAGACTTATATACATATATTCATTTTTAAACGATATTTTGCCACAAAATGGTGCCATAATTGAAGGAAAAGATAGGACTTTTCCCTTGTTCACCATTTTCTAAACTAGTCATCGCAAAAAAAAATCAAAACTCAATTTTTTGAAAGTAATAGTAAAATTAAAAAATTAAAATAAAAAAGTATAAATTCAGGCGAACACACAATACATAAATACCGGACGAACATATTAAATATAGCCTTTCCACCTTTCTGAAAACTACCGTTACATTGTAAGCAAGATGGTTTTACCCCTCTTTATTTCAAACATCTCCGATAGTATATTCAGTTAGATTTGGACCAAATTCACAGTGTGTAGTTAACTACTGACAAGAGTTTAACTATCCATTTTTAAATTCACAGTGCTCAGTTAACAAAAGTTTAAACCAGCATACCTCCATAGTTAAACTCTTGTGAAATTATTATTTTTTTTTTCAATTACAATTTCAAATTTGCATACGAAAAATATTGATTTTTAGAATTTATAAATTTCCAGCGATATGCACTTCCATAGCTAACTATGTATGTAACTGTGAATATAAATTCATAGTTAAACTTTTGTAAGTAGTTAAGTTAACAATGGTTTAACTAAGCACTCTGAATTCAGCCTTTACTGAGATAAACTAATCCAGTTATAAGTGGGCGATACCACGCCCATTTTCCAAAATTACATAATAATGTTTTTTTTTCAAGATACTGTTGTGCGTATCAACTTTGAGGAAATTAGCGTACTTAAATTTCGAAATATCGAAGTTTCCGCATTTCTGAAATGTACCGCTATATGAAAAGTGGGCGTAATTTTTAGATGTTATTATTTTAAAAACAATAATATTTTTTTAACTCCATTTAATGTTTGGGAACTTATTTTATTTTGTTCTTTTTTAAATTTTTTTTCCTTTTTTGTTAAATTTTCTTTAAATTTTTAGATTTTATTGTTTATAAAAGAATAATATTTTTTAATTTCATTTAATTTTTAGAAACTCATTTTATTAATTTTTTCTTTTTTTTTTAATTTAATTTATTTTTATTCTGTTGATTTTATTTTCTTCTAATTTTTAGGTTTGTTTTGATGATCTTATTTTATTTTTTTGTCATGTTGTAAATAACTTTATTTTTATTTTTTGGATCTTGTTTTAAAATTAAATTTTTTTCAAAATGTTTTTTTTTTTTGTTAATTTTTTAATTACTTTTTAGTACTGTTTTTTCTTACTTAATTTTCAGATTTCATTGTGAAAAAGAAAAAAAACACGATATATTTTTTTACTGCATTTAATAAAAAAAATCTAGAAGTTGCTGCTTAAAACCGAACCCGCATCATCGATATGCAAAGTCAGAAGCGCCAACAACTGAGCTATGCACATCCCAAAAGCTTTTGTTGCTCTTCCATTTCCTTATGCTACTTATTTCTATCAAATTCAGCTATATCTCAAAAACTTACATTTTGATTTCGTATTCGGATTCAGCGGAAATTTTTACATTAATCCGGGATCACACGATTTCTACATTTGTACAGATTTTTACGTTTTGGTATTTACGTAGCGTGGTTTTTTTTGTTGAGCTGAACTCAAGCCAAAATGTAAAAATAGTGTGACCCCCGCTTTAGAATGCATATAAAAAAGTCGCTGGTCGGACAATTTTTTTTTAATTTTAGTAAACTTGTGTTATTGAAAAGGCGGACCCGAGTGCGTTCTATTATGAAAAACTTGTAGTCCTTTTGCCACGCCCATTACAAATTATATATCGTTGGAAAGCTTAGAAAATTAGCTATCGAAATAAGACCTTTGCAAAAAACATTGTACATTGTTTGAAAAATCGAATAAAACATTTTTTATACTTAGCAATTTTTTTGCAAACAAAAATTTTAGCCAAAAATTATAGCTTTTAGCAAAAAGCATGGAAAAAGTTCTAATAGGTCAGAAATTTTTGATTCTCTATTATAAGTGTGACATATGATAGGAATTAAAATTAACGTGTGACTCTAAGAAAAAGGTTGCATATTTAGACTCGAAAAAAAAACCGCGGTAAAAAACAATTATTTTACACATTGGTTTTACCGGTAGCCATAACAAAGACGTGGTGGAGGTTGGACACAGTGCTGAAATAAAATTTTTTTCCTGGTAGGTACACTTGGCGAATTTTGCCCCATGTATACAATACGTATAATAATTTACGAAGCCACAAAGTGTTGTCATTTGTTTATACATATGTATGTATTCTTAAATTTTTTGCCGTTACGGCTCGTAATCGCATAACGAACGGTTACTAACATAATAAATCCCAGAACAGGTTGAGTTCATTAAAAAAAAAACCAAAACGTTGCAAAGAGAAGAGAAGAAAATGTTCATACTAAAATAAAGACATATGTACAAGCAACAGCAAGCAAACCATTAATTAAAACATAAATTTTATTTAAGCATATTTTCCATTTAAAAATATTATTGACTATAATTTGGAAGCACCTTTATGGGCTAATTTGGCGTTGATGCTTTGGCTCTTAGCTTTCCGCCTTCTTCTGTTGTATGTAGTAGGAATAAAATAAGATATAAGCTCATTTATGTACAAATAGGTATGTTTGTATGTACAAATATTTTGCCAAATAGGAGCTACAACTTCCGCATTTTGGCGTACAAACAGTCAAAAGCAATTTAGTGTGAACAATGCGTACAGAAAAGTGGCGCCTAAATAAAATTTCATGCCAAAAATTATTGTCGTATAAATAAGCGCGGGTGTGTTTAAATGTAAATAATCAAACTTTGACGTTGGTGGTGTAAACATATCGGAAAATTTGTCGAAATGGTGAGAAAAGTGAAATTTAAATAGAAATAAAATTTATAAAATAAAACCAGCGATTTTTGCTTAAGCAAAAAAAAAAGAAAACTACTTCAATGCTCATGTAAAAATTTTGAGATACCGTTAATTTCTTCAAGACTCAGTGATCTGAAATAAACCAAATTATAATGGGAGCACCGTTAAGGTACCTAATTTCCGATAAATAAAAAAAAATATAGAAAAGGGTTCCGCTGAATTGATAAGCTTCCACCTTTTTTTGAAGTCGGTTAATAACAAATTTGAACATTCTTTACAAGCATAAAGAGCAGATTGTGTCATTAAAGTGATAACTACTAAACATTCACTTGGAAATCGTGCTATAAAATGTATCAAAAAACTAATAATCAAAATTATTCCACAGAACTTTTTCATCGCCTCATTTTCCGCCCTGCTGGTTTGTGCCGCGGCAGACGTCTCTCATCTCGGTGGTGGCTACAATTATCCAGCGCCTGTCCATGAAGCTGTGCGCTCACAACCAATACTACCACAAAATACCTACATTGCGCCTGCAGCACCAGCACCGGCGCCATCTCACGGCTACAGCTATCCGGCACCAGCGCGAATTCATGAAGCAGTAAAATCCCGACCAGTTGCACCAGCTCCAGCGCCATCTCAGGGCTACAGCTATCCGGCGCCAGCTCTAGTTCATGAGGCTATTAAATCACAGCCAATCATTCCACACCCACCTCCAGCGCCGTCTCACGGTTACAGCTACCCCGCACCAGTATCTCAAGGCTACAGCTATCCAGCGCCAGCTCCACCAGTTCATCAAGCTGTGATATCTCAGCCAATTTCACCGCAAAGCACTTACATTCCACCACCACCGGCAGCACCAGCGCCATCAAGGGGTTACAGTTACCCAGCACCAGTTCGGCAAGCAATTCAATCCCAGCCCATTTCACCAGCGCCATCTCAAGGCTACAGCTATCCAGCTCCAGTTTTTGAAGCTGTCAAATCGCAACCAATTGCACCATCTCGGGGTTACAGCTACCCAGCACCAGTTTCTCAAGGCTACAGCTATCCAGCCCCAGCTTCAGTTCACGAGGCTGTGAAATCCCAGCCAATCATTCCACAAAACACTTACATCCCACCTGCACCGCCAGCGCCAGCGCCATCTCAAGGCTACAGCTATCCATCGCCAGTTCACCAAGAAGTGAAATCGGAACCGATTATACCCTCAGCTTCTCTAGAACAGGATGGCTACCATTATAAGACAGTTCGTCGCGTTGTTTATAGACGTCGTTTACGAGTTTAAATCGAGTATTTTCTATTTTAATGTTGTTGACTGATTTTGTTTTTAAAGTCCCAATGGAAATAAGTACATAAATAAATGTTAAACTATATGATATTCTTGAGAGATTTTTTTTTGTAGTTTTGAAAAATTGAAAGTCCAGGAGTCCTTAAAACACCAGGTTTACCATATACAGAAATCCAGAGGAGAAAAAAAATTAATAATTAAAAGCAAAAATAACAATACAACCTCTAAACAGTTTTTTTTAAGCCATACTTCTTTGCTCTTTGCACAAACAGACAAGTTCACTGATCTTGGGTCAATCAATGCCAATCGAACCGCCTTTTTTCAGGAAGGATTTTTATTATATTATCCTCAGTGTCGGCGACGAAGTTTATAAATTATTTTTCGAGCAATGAAGTAGTTATTTATAGAAAGAGGCATTTAGCCCTTTTCAAAAAACAATAACCCCATTGCACATCCACAGGATAAGCCCTTTAATTTGACACCCAATTTTTGAACGAACGAAACAAATCTGATAACGAAGTGTTAAATATTAACATCTCCAAACTCGATTAAGAAGTTTCAATTCAGAAACAGCAGGAAAAATTCGCGAGCAGAGAAGCTGGACTGCTATTATCTCGACGTCAACTGGTAAGATGATTGCCTAGATTTGCTGTTGAGTGGGTTTTAAACCCACACCGATACTCTCGTAGCCAGAAGAAAATGCCAACCTTGTATTCCAACAATACTGATAAACATGCGAATCGGCGTCAACTCCTTAAGGGACCTTATTCCAGTAGATTGTCGGTCATTCAATTGTTTGTCTAAGCAAAACGCTCGGTTAAACTTGGTAGCCCAGGACTAAACTAGCAACTTGGGGATCTGATTAGAGCTTACCCAATACCAATAGAAAAAACTAATTAGTTTCGCTGAGTTCCGACTTGAAATTTATAAAAACTAATTCTGTGAAGTGTTGGCTTTAAAAAAAAGAGCACTCTAAGGCCTCCATGGGCACATTGTGATGCCATATTAGAGACTTCTAGCGTCGCTCCTCCAACCTCAGAACGAGAAACAATTTGTAGCTCTGATGAAGCGCACAAAATCGTAGATACTGGCCGAATCCAGTTCAGCCAGACACTCAAAAGAATAGCGGAGGAGCGAGCGTCGACGAGCCCTTGCCAAAGCGGGGCAGTGGCATAGGTAAAGCTCCACGCTTTCGATTTCCTCCTCATCGCGGCAGCTACGACAGTAATCGTTTGGCTAAAAATCCATCCTGGCAGCGTGGGTTCTGATAACGCAGTGCCCGTTGAGAATTCCAATAACATGGTCGCTCCAAACGGAAGAGAGGGCGTGATCTACGGTTATCTAACCTAGGCCAGACGTGTCTCGCTATCGTGCACGTGGGCCCCGCAGACCATCTTCCATTTGCCCGTTCGATAAAGTTATTCTGCAGCCAGAGTTTACAAGAATATAGCGGAGTACCCGCATTAGCGGTACTGATTGCAGACAGCTCGTCCGCAGCACATTTGCCCGGTATGTGCCTATGACCTGGCACCCATACAACTTGAGTAGAGTAACTCCTTGCAAGTTCATTTAGAGAACGTCTACATTCCATGACAATCTACGATGTAGATTTGTCAAAATTAAGTGCTGCCTGGCTATCAGAAAATATAGTTACTGCATGCAGTAGCCATTTCAAATCCATCTAGGAAGATCGAAATCGAAATTACAGTAGACCACATTTTCCCCAACCCATCGCACCTGAAAAGAAACCGCACATGATAATCGGTATAATTACACATCCCCACAGAAAAACAAATTGTCAGGATCAGGGAACGAGACACACTATGCATGTATTCCTATGTAGTTTGAGGCACAGACTATCTCAATCCGGCATTAGAATCGGTCCAAACGTGCCTTAGTTCAGCAGATGTTACGCGACGGGCAGGTTTTTGTTTGGCCAAGGAAAAAAATCCTGGCGTGATGACGGACTTCAGATTCGTGTTCAGTGTATCAAAATACATAAGAAAGAGAGAGTCTTATTCCCGAAAACCGGCACTTTTTTGTGTATTTGTGTAACAGCTGATGCGTTTTTTACAACGACAACTGCCTAGCCTTCTCTCGACATTCGGCTTCTAGTTCGTTCCGAAGACTATTGTGAGCACCGGGATTGAATTGCAGGCGTTTTGGTTCTCTGATTATACTCTTTGAACATTTGCGTTTATAATGCTCGATAATTTTATGCTGTACTAGTGCTGTTCTTGAAGGTTCAAGAAATATTTCACTGATTGGAAAAAGACTATTGGAAAGGATATTTTTATATGTAGAACGGAGCGAACTTCTTCTTCTTCTTTTTTGGCGCTGTAACCGCCTAAGCGATTTTGGCCGAGTTCAGCAAAGCACGCCAGTCGTTTCTCCTCTGTGCCAACTAACGCCAATTGGAAACGCCAAGTGAAGCAAAGTCCTTCTCCACCTGATCTTTCCATCGCGGTGGGGGCCTCCCTCTTCCTCTGCTACCACCAGCGGGTTCCGAGTTGAATACTTTCAGAGCTGGAGCGTCGGTGTCCATTCGAACGACATGACCAAGCCAGCGTAGCCGCTGTATTTTAATTCGCTGCACTATGTCCATATCGTTGTAAAGCTCATACAGCTCATCGTTCCATCGTCTGCGGTACTCGCCGTCGCCAACGCGTAAAGGACCGTAAATTTTCCGCAAAATCTTTCTCTCAAACACCCCAAGAGCCGCCTCATCGGATGTTGTCATTGTCCATGCTTCTGCGCCATATACCAGCACGGGCATGATGAGTGACTTATAGAGCGTGGTTTTCGTACGTCGAGAGAGGACTTTACTCCTGACTTGCCTACTCAGTCCAAAGTAGCATTTGTTGGCAAGAGTGATTCTACGTTGGATTTCAATGCTGACATTATTATCGGTGTTAATGCTGGTTCCCAGGTAAACGAAATTCTCTACTTTCTCGAAATTGTAACTGTCAACAGTGACGTGGGTGCCAAGGCGCGAATGTGCTGACTGTTTGTTTGATGACAGGAGATACTTCGTCTTGTCCTCGTTTACCACCAGACCCATGCGCTTTGCTTCCCTATCCAACTTGGAAAAGGCAGAACAGACTTCTCGGTTTTCGTTACCGATGATGTCGATGTCATCGGCATAAGCCAGCAATTGCACGCTCTTGTAGTAAATTGTTCCTGAGCGGTTCAGTTCTGCAGCTCTTATTATATTCTCCAACATCAGATTAAAGAAGTCACATGAAAGGGAGTCGCCCTGTCTGAAACCCCGTTTTGTGGCGAACGGCTCGGAGAGGTCTTTTCCAATTCTGACGGAGCTGGTGGTATTGCTCAACGTCATTTTACACAGCCGTATGAGTTTTGAGGGGATGCCAAATTCAGACATAGCGGCGTATAGGCAACTCCTTTTAGTGCTGTCAAAAGCGGCTTTAAAGTCGACAAATAGGTGGTGAGTGTCGATCCTTTTCTCGCGGGTCTTTTCCAAGATTTGGCGTATTGTGAAAACCTGGTCTATGGTGGATTTGCCAGGTCTAAAGCCACACTGATAAGGCCCGATCAGTTCATTGACGGTGGGCTTCAGTCTTTCACACAATACGCTCGATAAGACCTTGTAACCTATGCTTAGAAGGCTGATCCCGCGGTAGTTGGCGCGAATGGCGGGGTCACCTTTCTTGTGGATTGGGCAGAGCACACTTAAATTCCAGTCGTCGGGCATGCGTTCATCTGACCATATTCTGCACAAGAGTTGATGCATGCACCTTATCAACTCCTCGCCGCCGTACTTGAATAGGTCAGCTGGCAGGCTGTCAGCTCCAGCGGCTTTGTTGTTTTTCAGTCGCGTTATTGCTATACGTACCTCGTCATAGTCAGGCGGTGGAACGTCGACTCCGTCAGAACGGAGCGAACTGCTTTACTAAAATACGTTATTCAAAATAAAAATAAAAATATTAAATATTTTTTTCCTTTTCTTGAGCGCTCAAAAGTCCAGGAAGCTAGGCTAGGCTAGGGGCTTTAGGCACAATTTTAAGTATTCCGTTTCGTCCCGAGGATTTTGTCGGTCAGCCGCTGGAGATTTCTTTTTTCAGTAAAAACCTCAAACCTACCTTATCTAATTTAATCCCGACTCACTTTACGAACACGATGAACTCTGAAAAGCCCGCTATCGTCGTTGCTGGTGGCAGTCATTTGAGACGATTTCAGGCAAAAGCAATCCACAAAAACTCAACCTCTTATAAATTCAATAAATTGTATTTAACTTCAAAACAAATTCAGGTACACTTACACAAAATAAAGGGAATTCACAGCACTTTTAACTTAGAAACGATACCTGAAAACCACACGACGAGGATTCTTGTAGTGATATCCATCTTCTTCAAGAGTAGCAGATGGCTCGGGAGCAGGAGCTGGGGCTGGAGCCGGTGCTGGCGCTGGCGCTGGCTCTGGTGCTGGCGCTGGCGGAGCTGGCGGGATGTAGGTGTTTTTAGGTGCCGCTGGTGGCGGTGGTGGCGGAGGAGG